CAATTAGTATTATAATGTTTTATTTATGTAACTTTTTTTTTATAACTCAGGAGACAAACGAGCATGTATCTCATCGGATGGTAAGTGACTACCACCGCCCATGACCACCCGCAACATCAGAAGCATTGCAGGTGTGCTGTCGGTTTCATATTAATTTTTTTACGAATCAATATCCTGTTTGTCTAAGAAACTGTGGAAGGCGTATTTATATTGCCACTTAAATTTCATGGAGGTTGAAATGTTGTGTTGTAATATCATCATCATCATCGTAGTTATAAATTACCTGTTCACTGTTGAACATAGGCCTCCCGCATAGAGTGACACAAGATATAAATAATAACAAATGAAGGACACCATATAATAAGGTTCCTTTTCTGATATTTGGCTACAATATCATATAAATCAGGTCGTTAAATTTTGTATTGTCAGATAATGATTTTTTATCGGATACCTGCTAGATAAATTAGTATTTTATCATGTTCTACGACACAATGCATTTATTTAGTATTCCTGTGTTTTTATAAATTAGATTAGTTATACTCACAACTTGCAAAACTTACAAAAAAGATTTGCCATTCTTTAAAACTAAAGTGTTATGGCATAATTAGTTGTTATTTATTAATAATTTATGAACTACATTTAAATAAAAATACTACATTTTTTATGATTTATAAAAGGGGCAAACAAGCTGACGGCCTACATGAGGAAAAGTGGTAGCCTTTGCTTATAAACATAAATAATATCATAGACAACTGTATTTTAAATAAATAAAGACAATTCACAGTAAAAAAAAAAAAAAAAAACTATAATGTAATGCTCATTTATTTGTGCAGATATATTTAATCACTACGATATTGAATATACGAATTTTACTCAGTTTTTCTATTTACAATGCTAATAATGTCTATAATGGTCACTGCGCATCCGGAAATCATACAACAAAATCCGAATAAAACAATTAAGATATTTTTCCACAGTATCCAATTGTATTTTCCCAGGTTGTCCCAGCGGAGTATGGTTTCAATTATTCCAGGTATTATCACTCCGAGAATTGAGTAGAAGAGTGAACCAACTAAATTGATGATTTGCTCCAACATCGGTAATGCGACACCGATACCACCTATAAAATAATAATATTAAATTAATAATACACTAGTTTTCATAAGCGACTTTGTCGCCATGACCAGAATATGTTGATTGATCGCGGTTAAAATTTGCTGATGATCTTCTCTATCCCCAAATACTATGTGTATTTATATAAAATTATCATGACAATGTGTTAAGCCGTTAAAAAGCTAAGAGATAACAAACAAACTCACTTTCACATTTATTTTTTTATAGCAATGATTCTCATGAAGATATCAGCAGAACGATCAAAAAGACAGAATGATACAGTCCGAACGATAAGCTACTTAGACGGATAATGGAGCAGAAAGGGTAATAAGGGTATCGCAGGGATAGCGTAAAGATAGTGGACTTTTTTTTTATATAACTTAGAATGGCAAACAAGCTGACGACCCACCTGATGGAAAGTGGTAACCGTCGCCTATAGACATGAGCAGTACCATGGACATAACAGAGTATACTGTTTCGCTCATGATACCCCCATACGTTGCCATTCCTGAGGACTCAGATGTCTCCAGTACCCAGTAAATTCACGCCATATCCCACCTTTTAAATCGAAACACAGACATGCAAACACAACTGCTTCACGGTTGAAACACGAATGGGACAGAGGTACCCAAGCAATCGACTTTTGTAAAAAGTAGTGGACGTAGTGCAAAAGAAAATATTGTCAAGACTCGGGATAATTTCTATGTGAGGAACTTCTATGTTTAACAATGGTTAATTGACAACTGGAAGAAGGACGATGACATTATTACTACTTGTAATCTGTGACTTTGCTATTCGAATTAGAATAAAAACATCTCAGGTATTAGTTTATGATATGGCCTAATTATGTGCCAAATTCAATAAAAATTCGTTAAGCTGTATAAAAGTTATTGTGTAAGAAATTTACAAATACCTGTATATTCAAATATTTTACAAATTTTCATATTTATAATTATAGGATATTAACTTACCACAGAATAAAACAATTGCTATCCTTATAAAGACTTGGGCCGTAGATCTGTAATTTTCCTTAATATGTGACTCTGTATGTCTCGTTATAACATCAATTACACAAAAGAAGTGCAAGGGATATGTGAAGAAAATAGATAGTGCTATAAAACATTTCGCACAAATTGCTGGCCTGAAATACACATACCATCTAAGTTAACAAAAATTTAATTATTGACCATTGATATTATGGGCCAAATGAACTGCCTTCATCCTCACCTGTCACCCTTCACTGGTATCCTGCCATATACCGATAGTGCGGACGGGGTTAACATTCCATCTTCACCCACAAAAAAATATCCATAATATTGAGGGGAAAGGATTGTTCGTAATAGGGTCCATCAGGTCCATTGCTAGCAATATATCTTATCAGGTCGACCTCCATGCGGTTCTCCCTGGAAACTATTATAGTTAATTCTTATGGGATTCGTCAGGATGGGCTGATTTGACTTTTTGGAGACTAATTTTTATCCGCGACTTCGACCGCGTATCTGAAATATATACTGCTTAACCGAAATAACATGCAGCCTTTGTTCTTCATCTTAAATACTACGTGTACATTCTAAATCTTAAAATAGTAAATTAAACTGTTAAGGTAGTATTGAGAAAAGAAAGAAATAAGACAATTTTATATTTATAATATTATATTATTATGATATTATAGAGAAGGCTTACAACAAATTTTGAAGAACATATTTGTAATATAAGAATGAATTACTAAAAAAAATGTCTCAGAAAACGATAATCGAATATAGTGCTTGCATGAAATTTGGTGATTGACGTAAATGACAAATGTTGTGTAGGCAGACGATATTTCGATCTAGGCAATATTGACCGACATAATATTATTCTTTAACAAAATTCTTTTTATAACGAAGTCACTTAAACGTCATTATGCCATATTTTTCGAAGAATACTCTCCAATGAAACTAATGACATCTCTCTTGGAGAGACATGTTTACTTAGAGATCGATTTATTTATAAATCTTATTACAAAACTTTTAAAAGGGACAAGTTGAAGAATATTAAAAAATGCATGAAAAGATATTGTTAAGTACCAATTCAAATTTTTTCATAAAGATACTAATTTATTTTATTATTAATTCATACCAATTATGGAAGAGCGGAAACTATAGATAAATTAACTATCTAAAAAACTCACCAATCATCCATAGGCAAGTTCAAAGTGATAGAACCTCTTAATACATCGCCATATTTAAAGTAACCGAACAGTCCCAGGGTCCCATATAATAATGCCACAAGTAACATGGCTATGGATAAGACGCCAGGACATCCAAGGAATCTTTGAGGATTTTTCATGGCATTTGCTACTGGCATTACAACTCCTATGCCTTCCATTGCAAATATTATAGTACTGAAAAAAAAAAAACACAATTTGGCGCTTTTTTTATTAATTCCATGTATTTTAATTTTTGAAGTATACCTATTAATAAAAAGTACATTTTATGATATACAGGTACATTTATTCATTAAATATTGAAAATGTGACTAAATTTTACGCGTGTCTGTCATCTGTGCGAGCTAAGTATGTTCCTATTTCCAAATACAATTATAGAAACATATTTAAAAAACTTCCTGTCGTCCCATGGAAGAACAATAAATGCTCAAATTCAAATATAAATAATTTTTATTCAAATAGACAAATAGACTTGTTTACAAGCACTTTTAAATCGTCATTTTGTTTTAAATCTACTGCAGGCTTCGGAAAGTTGTTATCTGTTGTGAAGAGCTTACAAGAAACTCAACAATTACTCTTTTAAATCTCTGTTAACATTATGTGTATTTATTTAAATGTACTATGTTTAGAATTACATGGTTATTAAAATTCATGCATGATCGATTTATACCATGCACATTTGTCATTCAAGTAATCATTTAAAGTGGAATAGTCTTTGTTCAAAAATGTTTTTAATAACAATTTTAAACTTATTAAAAGATAGATTTAAAAAATCCTTCGGTATCTTATGACATTTAATATACATTCCCATAAAAGACCTAGTAAGTTTTTCTAAATTATACTTCGGAATAGCAAGTTTATATTTATATCTAGTGTTAAAATTATTAAGATCACTATTTTTAAGAAACAGTTGAAGATTCTTGCGTATATACAAAATGTTTGCGTATATGTATTGTGAAGTTACGGTAAGAATATTTGCTTGTTTATTTCAATTTAATTTTTTTTTAATTTTTCTCTTAGTTATTTACGATTTCCCATATAATAACTCACGCAAGTAGCATTAGAGTAGCAGGTTTTGTACTACAAATATGATTTAGATGTCGGCTGTTTTACCCCATAATAATATACTATGAAAGTAACTAAAATAAACTAATCTGGCCTATGTTCCGATGTACTTACGATAAAAATGCTGGAAATCTTGAAGCCTCACCGACAAATTTTCTATCAGAAAACGTTAATCCGTCTTTAAAAATATAATAAAGACATATTGCGAAAGTAGCCACCAGTAGGACATTAGCTATAAATGAGATAGGCGCTAAGAACTTTAAATGTCTTATTTGAACCAATAAACATAACGGTATTAACAAAATGAGACAGTAGTATTCTATCGATACTATAAAAACTGGATAATATGTATCGAAGAGCTGAAAAATTACAAAAACACATTACTAATCTTGAGAAAACTTTTTTCTATTATTTTGATTTAAACGAGATATTTAATTCACCTGTTTGATTGAATCCGCTATAAGTACGGTAAAAATGCAAGCCACTCCAATGTATGTACAAAAAATGGAACATTCTGCAAATATTCTGCAAAAATATCATAATTATTACATGTTTTAGTAGGAAATAATTTATTTTATTCAGAAATAAAAAATAGAGCCGCAATATACTTTTACCCAGAAAATCGAGCATAACGCCTGCTCGCTTTTGGTCCGGCCAGGAATGCAGCTCGACATGTATCTGCGTATCCGAGCAAAGGCGTCTTTTCTATGCGACAACATTCTTGAGATACTTCAACCTGTAACAAGGAGTTTAATTAGTTAATATTAATATTTTTTAACATTATAATAAACTAGCAATTCCACAGGCTTCACACAGGTAGATGAAAATAATATATAGCCTATGTTACTCGCTGATTATATAGGTTTATATAGGCGAAAGAATTTTTAAAATTGTTCGACTTGTTTTTGAGTTTATGCATTACAAACATTTTCCCTTTATAATACAAGTATAGATATAACATTTTGTAATTTTTTGGAATTTATTATAAACTTTTAAATAGATGACATTTCAAAACATTAACGCTCTTATTCATGAAAACGAAAACCTACAAATCTATTTGAACTATTACGCTATTTTGTAATTTTTCTCCAAATTAGAAATTTAGCACAAATTAAAGAAACGAAACAATTCAATAGCTAAAATTGGTTTACAAGATGTTTGATGTTTCTATGAATAAGGGTGTAGGTATATAGGTTTTTATGTTGAACTATTGGTAAAGCGTGCGGCTTTAACGTAAGGTTTTAAATCTTTATCCGAATTTTTCTAAATTTGTAAAAAAAAAACCCTACTAAGACTTTAGATTGAGTAAGACAAAATTTTCAAAAAAATACTTACAAATATATGAGCACAGTGGGTACAAATAAGAGCTATGATAGCTGTGCCAATGATGCCAATTCCCCATCCCGAGTTAGAAAAGGCTAATGGTACTGCAAGCAACCCAGAGCCTAAGGAAGCCTTTACTAAATTTGCTAATGACCTGATATCACTGTAATTACAAAAATAAATATTTCTATTAATAGATAATTTATGTTACGAATTTTTCTTGGATCAGTGAAAAATTAAAAATAAAATCTATACCTTTGCTAGTATGTAATTTGCAGGCGCTTTCCCTTGCTTTTATAATTTTACAAAAAATTTATGTATAATTTTTGTGTTATCTGTCATTACGTAAAATGATATAGATATATTTAAATCAATTATAGAAAGTATCATATGGGAATTTTAGCATAGCATTAAATAAAGATATAGAATAGACGAAATTAAAATATTAAAGTTAGGTGAAGTATTTTTTATATAAAACGTATAACAGAAAAAATACTTTTCTACATTTACAGACAATTACATAAATTCTATACAATATAACTGTAAAAACAACTATCAATAAAAAACGATGACTAGCGACAAATAAGAATGCATTTTGATTTCCAGATAAGAGCGTAACATCTTGTGTCTAGGGGAACCTGACTTTTTACTTATATGTAACACTATATGTAGATATATTAGACTATATATTTAAAAATATAATACTATAAAATATGAATACGTAACTTCAAAATCTATTTAAGTATACAAAGAGAAAATAGATTAAAATAAAAAAAAGCAACCCTTCCATATCCATTATGGCCTATAAAAGAATATTATAAACGTATTAGTGAATTAAAGTTAGGAAATTACACATAATAATTATGAATTATATAAAAGAATCTTGTAAAACAAATACTTTTTAGAACTTTTAAATTAGAAGGAATTTATATTAATTGAATAATTATTCTAATAATTGATTGTAATGTTATTTTTGACAATTATTATTGGTTATTTTGTTGCTTCATATTTTTTTTTGTTTTGTTATCTTTTACGATATCTTCTTGTCACTTGCAAAAATATTCAACACGATGCAATATTGTAACGAATAAAAAATAAATTGAAAAATTGAAATAAAATAAAGCACATAATAATAAGTAATAATATATTATACACATATTTATATTATAAAACACATGTACTATTAAAATGGTTAAACTACCCCTCAATAATATATAAAGCGCCTACAATACATTTAAAATAAAATAAAAACAACATTAAGTAACAATATGTAAAAAGTATAATATTTTTTTTTATTATGGTTATAATAATAAATTGTAATAGGTATATAACAAAACAAAAAAAAAACTTACGAATTCGGTTTAGCAATTATTCGATGTTCAAATGGATTGTATTCTTTTTGATCAGATTCATATATACTATTTGTGCTCATATTATTATTGATAGAAAATTCATTTAATAAATTTTAACTTTTTTTATTCATTGAACATATATATTTTAGATGTATAATAATATATTCAGTCTAAAAAATACATATGAAACCTAGTCGTATTTTACACACTAAACAAAACACTCATCTGGGCTTAATTAATTTATTGTTACATTCTGGTTATCTTTGTTTAATAACTTATTAACATAAGATAAGTAGATAAAATTGAACAACCTTTAATGTACGTATGCACATATTAGGTTTTTATAGTTACGTCCTTATTCTATGATAATACTATGTATTTAAATTCGTTTTATACCTAAGCACTGAGAAAATGGGAAATTGCGTGAGCATAAGATTAAGAATATTGTACATAGTAATTATAATCCTGTAAATAAGCAATATAAAGTTACAATAAAATTTTATTAGTAGTATAGTCGAATAACAAGATAATCTTTGTTTCTAACTTTTCAAAGTTAAAACATTGGTTAGAGATAACCTTGTCTATTTTGAAATATTACTTTGTAATAATTTAAATTATCTACAATAATTTACAGCACGTTCCTTATCTAATAAATAGTTTTACATAATAATAATTTATTATAATAAATGTTATATTAAAAGAAATTATTATAATAATTTAATAGTTTTTTTTTGCCAAATAATACTTATTTAAATATACCCCAATAAAACAAATAATTTAACTGCTAATTACTTACTTACTGAATTATTTTTTTCATAAATATATTTGCTTAGTAATTGCAATCAAAGATTATTTAATTTTAAAAATTACTATAGTCAAAGTACTTCCATTGTTTAAGTTTTATTAGCTATTCGAGTCGGTAAAATGTTTATATTGTATTAATATATTTTACAACAAAATCGTGCATATCATAAACACAATAGTTGTTATTACAATTTCATATTACACGACTAGGTATACATATAAACACAAATAATTTGTAATGACAATACAATTAAAACTGTCATGCCATAAAACTTGTTTCTAAGTTTTATACAATTCTTTTTCTATAATTATTCAGTTTTACTGTGAAGAATTTTTATTATATCCATAATAGTAACTGTACAACCAGATATTAAACATAAAAGCCCGAATAATACGATGAAAAGGTTTTTCCATAAAATCCAATTAAGTCTTCCAAGATTGTTCCAACGGAATACTGTCTGTATGATACCAGGGATGATAAGTCCGAGTGTGGAGTAAAAGAAGGCACCCACAATATTAATAATTTGTTCCAATAATGGTAAGGCGATGCCGATGGCCACTGTGGAAATATATTAAAATTATGATTAACTTGTTGCTTTACTGCTTGAATTAAAGTAAAAAGTATGTAAGCTATAATAAATTTGTTTTAAATTTTATTTAAAGTTTTTTAGTTTTATACGTTTAGTAATAAATATCCTAATACCTTTACAATTTTTCATATTTTATAATATTATTGACATATATTACTCATTTAATTGTGAAGTAAGAAAATTTAAACAATATTTAAATAATGCTCAAAGCAGATGTTATTTAAGTTTGATGCACTAATAAATTGTAATATAGGATTTTAGACTAAACAGGCAAAGCTACAATAATTCCCTTTCGTAAGATTATTAAGAAAAACGCAAAAAAAAAAAAAAAAATCAAGCAGGAATCTATTTGAATGGATATGTTTATTGGATTCAAAGAAGATTAGTTTGAATATAATTATGAGGAATATATTTATATTTTCAGTTTGAACTTACCACAGCAACAGACGCCTATCGTCCTAGCGACTACTTGCGTTGGTAAAATATACTTCTTCTTTATATAAGGCTCAGTGTACTTCGTAAAAATATCGATAACAACGAAGAATTGAAGTGGATACGTGAAGAAAATGGACAGTGCTATGAATATTTTTGCGCATATTGCTGGCCTGGAAATAAAAGTCAATACAAAATATTTACAAACCATCATCGAAATGATTTTTTCAAAGTAAAGGGTTCTGAGTAGTGTAAAGAGCTACAAAGATAAATTAAGGCTATATCGGCACGAGCCATATAGTAGGAAATTGATAGAACTAATGTAGGATATATTAATAGAACCTAAAATTATATTACTGTATACATTTGCACAAAATATTTTTTTTTTATCATAAGATTCATTCAACTTTGAAAAACCAATTTGAGCTTTGGACACTGAACCTTTTCGGGTTCTATTTCGGATCAGGCCAATTTAGGAAAACCATTGTTTTTAGTTCATTAGCATTTTAATATTTGGGTCTAAGCTCGCAGGGGTTTTAATTAAAATTAATTAATAATTACATTTTTATAAGAACCTTTGCGGGGTTCTAATTAAGAAAGAATGATTAGAATTGGTTTAAGATTAGCGAAGATGCAACATAAATTACTTATACACAAAAAACAGTTGATTGAAAAAGCAGTTGTATTATAAATAAAATACTAACCAGTCTTCAATCGGTAGGTTCAAAGTAATGGATCCTCTCAGTACATCTCCATACCTGAAGTATCCAAACATGCCGAGAGTACCGTAAAGGAATACAATAATTGACATAGCCACTACTAGAACACTAGGGAAACCAAGGAAGTGTTTCGGTTTTTTCATTGCATTTTCAACTGGCATCACCACACCGATACCTTCCATAGCGAAGATTACTGTACTGAAATAGAAACAAAATTTTATTTTTGATAACTATGATCTACATAAAACGTGATCAAAATATATCTTTGGGTATATAATATAGTACTATATTAATACCTTAATAGATTTAATTTGGTCGCAGGACACAAACTTTTATATTCATGATTATATCTGTTTGTATTTGTTTAGGTATTGTATATGTGTTTACTAAAAAAAAAATAGTTCTTCTAACTTGACTATGTAATGAACAACTAATAGTTTTTAGATATTTATTACATAGTACATGTTCTGCATAGTTTGGAACTATATGGCGTTATGTAATATTTTACTGAACTACGAGTAGATGTTATTTTGCTTTGCTTTTATTATTAGAATCCAAAAGAATATTTATTGGAATAGTCTATCTGTCTGTATGTTTGTACTGGTATCACACAAAATCTGTCGCACCAATTTGGATGCAGTTTTTATAATTCTATTCCTGAAGGTCTTAAATAATTATAATTTGGTGTAGATTTTACCTTGATATATTTATATCTATAGAAATGAAATCTAAAATCCATACGTACGAAGATGTGAGCAAAAGCTAGTTAATAATAAAAATAGTAATTATAAATGGTACAATTGCACTTACTATATGTCATTAACCTCCTTCACTATTATCTATTTCATTATTAGTAGATCAAATTTTTTTTGTTTTTTTTTTATTATTACTGGATTTAATTAAACTGAATCGAATAAATAATCAATCATTAATTGATTTGTACATTATTAAAATTATCTAACAAATACGGAATATATTGTTACTTACAAATTTAGATTTAGTATTGCCATAAATCGCGTCCATATTATGTGGATATTTTACTGAAATATGAGTGTTATCTTGCAGAAGTCCAAGTCACAGGTTATTTAATTATACTAATTATTATATTATAATAATTGTTTATTTATGAATTATTTTATTTTACTAATTCTAGCGGTATTACACAAACTGATTGTAATTAAATAACCAGTGATGTTATGTGGATAAGATACAATAATGTAATAGAAAATTAAATAACCTAAAATGTGTTAGTTACTAAAGACCCTTTTAGAGTTCCATGCCAAAGTGAAATGGTACTTCTTTGATCCTCCGTCTGTCCGTATTTCACAGCGATTTATAATAGCAAAAACAAATTCGCAAAGTAAAAAACTGTTCGAAATTTTAAATTGGTAGGATTTTTAGTATTAGATGTAATTAGCTCATATATATTTAAAAAGAAATAATTAAAAAAAAATTTTAGTGCTAGGGGCTTAGGAATAGGTATTCAAAATGTAAATATGGATCTATTAGTTCCAGTAAGGTATCATATGAAAGAGCTTAATTTGATATTCTAAAATTTGAAAAATCTAGTTTTGGATGGCGTGTCAAGATAAAACATACACCAAATTTTAAGTTAGGACATCAGAAATATTATTGTGAAAACCACATTTAGTTTAGCGCATTCTTTTTGCGTAATGCCGGAACAAATATCCAGACAGACAGATAAAAAATAAACAAACTTTGTCTCAGATCAACAATTAATATAAATTTAGTTATTCCTATAATTTTTGCAGTTTAGTCAACAAGAAAATTTAGCTGTTGTATCAATTAGTTAAAACATTAAACGATATATATTACATATAATTTTGTGTTTTCGAACAAAAAATAAATTTAAATAAACATACTATTCACTAGATACTTACGAAATGAATGCAGGGTATCGAGCTGGGTTGCCCGCAACTTTCTTATCAGAAAAGGATATTTCATTTCCAAAAATGTAATACAAGCATATCCCATAAGTAGCTACGAGCAAAATGTTTGCCAAAAGCGAAAATATCGCCAGGAACTTTAAATATTTTATTTGGCATAGCAGACATAGAGGTATCAATATAATTAAACAGTAATATTCCACTGGTAATATCGCAGACGGAACGTAGCGGTCTACCAGCTGAAATAATAAAATATGAACAATAACAAAACATTAAATACCTATATAACATTAATTAATTTTAATATTTTCTTAATATTTTATATAATATTTTAGATTAGTTTCATTATAACATTAGCTATATCCCGTGGCTTTACCCGTGTATATAACGATAAACAGATCCTATTTGTTAATATAAATATTCCACATTAAATCCTAATATTTAATATGCTGATAGATTATAATGAGTGTCTCTATTAGCGTATCAAATTTTATTGGAATCCATTCAGTATTTTAAGCGAGATGGAATAACTAACATATAAATGTATTAATCAATTTTTATCTAATTTATATGTAATATTAAGTAAATTTAGATACGAACCTGTTTGATTGAATCTGATATAAGAACAGTGTATATACAGCATACACCAACGTATGTGGATAGTAAGGAAAATTCCGCAAACACACTGAAAAAAGATATCAAATATTTAACTGTGATTCATATTTGGTTAAAATACTTGACTCTCCGTTTTGTTTCCTACAAGAATTAAACAATACGGTCAACCAGTCATTTTATATAATTATTTATTTTCATAATATAAATATCTAATATTATCTTTGCTTAGTTATTTTATATTATTACTACTTTAGATTGGAATACTGAAGCTCACCTGTATAATATAAGTCGAAGTCAAAACAATATTTTCTATATTGTTAACCGATCAAGTTAGTATATATTAAAAATCAAAGTATATCAAATTAAATTTAATATTTTTTTGTTTCAGAAATAATATAAATATGAGTAACAAATTATAATAAAGGGCAAACGAGCATGTGTTCCACTTGTAGGTGAGGGTCGCTCATAGGCACCCGAAACATCAGAAAATATGCAAGTGTTTTGCCCGCCTATTAAGGAGTATGCTCTTTTATTGAAGGTTTCAATGCTGTATCTATATAGTTCAACATAAAGTCTAATATATAATCATCTCTTTAAAATCGTTTCGAAAAAATAGTAATATCTTAAGTTACCTACATTAATAGTTTAATTTTTTACCATTTATCTTTTTATTTACCTAGCAGCGTTAGCATATGGCCTAAGCCCCTTAGGTCCATTTGTAAATACAGATCTACATGTTTCTGCGTAACCCATTGAAGGTTTCTTTTCTATTTTGCAACAATCCCGTGATGTTTCAACCTGAAATATAATTATTAATTTTTAAAGGCATCCAGATAGTATGTTAATATTAATTTAGTTTTGTCTTCTTGTTCTGGAATTCGGTTTTATGTATTTTATAAGGTAATAGAGGACAACAAATTATTTTTCATTCTGTAAAAATTTACAATTTGAAAGATATTAGGAAAAACCTTGTTTTATTTAAGATAATTTTGAAGGGATTGATGATAAAGTGAGATTATTAGATACGATGATATAAATGCTTAGATTTCAGCAATGACTACACTTGAGTGCCATAATATAGTTGACCTATTCCAAATCCTATTAAAAATGACACTCAGTGCTAATTACATTTAAATGTTTATAATTTATCATCCCAATAATTCAATAACAACCCTTTTTTATTGGGATGGAGAAGGACAGACTATTTTTAATCTTGGCTAATTAACATATACTCGTAGTGGTCATTCGGGCAAAGTTTCAGTTAAAATAGTAGGATATAATAAAATAATACCAACTAGTATATGAATGCAGTGGCCGCAAATGATTCCTATTATAATGGTTCCGGCTATACCGACACCCCATCCTGCGTTGGAAAATGCTAAAGGGCCGGCCAATAGGCCCGATCCTAGTGATGCTTTTATTATGTTTGCTGTTGCCCTTAAATCCCTGAAATAATATATACAATGTACTAATCATATAGATAAGAAAATATTCTTAATGCACAAATACAGAAAGAAAATACCTGGGCGGAGGTAAAAGATATGACTTTATACATACTAAGTAGAGTTATTTGTAAGAAACCTAAGAAAAATATTAGAATGTATATATTAATACATTGTTTTATATAAAGATTCTACAACTGACAATATTAAAGTTTATTTGTTAGAAATTGATAATTAACTAAATGATTTTCACAACTTTAATAGTTTGCATACGAAATAGATATAATTGATTATATATAGGTATAAAACTGCATGTGGGGTATTATGGGCGAAACAGTATACTCTGTTATGTCCATGGTACTCCTCATGTCTATAGGCGACGGTTACCACTTTCCATCAGGTGGGCCGTCAGTTTGTTTACCATTCTAAGTTGCATAAAAAAAGAATCATTCAAGAGATCTTGATCTATATACCCTTGACTTTAATTACTCTGTTATCATAAGTAACACTTATATTTAGAGTTGATAATTTTGAGTTAGGTTTATATTTTACAAAGGGTGTGATATATTAATCTTTGTTTAAAAAATAATACAGATGTTTATATTATATGCATAGAGTATACACATAAAGGATCTCTATCTTCTCTTTTTAGATTCAACATATATCTTAATATATCAGATAAACTTTAACACTCCTATTTTTCTGTCTACTCCATATATATATGTATCTTATTGTGGAGATGGATATATTATAAATTATATAAATAAAAAAAAATTGTTAATATGTACAAGTTTAAGGATTTATATGCATTGCTCAACATGCCAAATTAAAACAATAAAAAATTATATAGTGAGCTCACCCTTATATGACGAAAAAGTTATTGAATTTTCTTCAATTCTGCTGATAAGTTTTAAATAATAATACACACTAGAAAGTTATCGAACACATTCACATTAAATAGAGAAATAAAAAATATACACATATAAATTGCACTAATACTGTCAATGTTCTTGTTGAAAGTATACTACTGAGATACTTTACTACGAATTATTTCTCAAAGCAGTAGATAATTTATTATAATAATTTATTAGGCACTTGTATGTACCCGTTATAAATCACACTGCTTTTCTTAATACGTATTATATGTTTAATATGATTGAGCAGTAACAACTTAGACAACTTTATTGATTCGTTTTTAAACCAGAATTTGCCCAAAAATATTAAAATAAAAACCAGTCAGGTGCGAGTTGAACACACTCTTTGAGGGTTCCGTACATAAATATAAGGTAAAATAATCTTTATTGGATTTCTCATACGAAATAGATATCTTAATAGTTATTTGTTGCAATATTAATAATAATTATTATAAATATAAATATAAAAAATTAATAATTCACATTTTTTTTTATTTAGCTACCATTATGTAGTTAAAAATTCGACCGCAAAATAAAGAATCTTAATAAGAATATTTTTTTAATTGTTATAAGAATTTTTAAACAGTTATTTTTTATGAATCTACCGCCGAATTTTCGAGTACCCGTAATATTTTATTTGGTAGAAAATAAAATATTTATTAAATTTTTTTTAATGCGATATGTTTAGACCAATAAATAATATGTAAAATTATTCCAAACTTCAGATTGATAGCATTAGATGTTACTAAGATTTAGCGGTGACGAACGGACAAACGGATAAATAAAGTCGCACCACAAGGGTTACTTTGTACGTTATGGTACATAGCCCTAAAAATATTAGAATTATGAGTTAGTTATAGACACATAGATAAAAAAAAATTGGAATAGAACAACTTACGAATTAGGTTTCTCAACCTGTCGATGCTCAAACGGGTCATATTCATCTTTGTCAGATTTTTTTTTTTCCGTTGTCATTATGTTATCGTCAATTTATTGGGAGCTGCTAAAATAAGAACAAATGAATGTTTTATGTGATTAGTGTGATTTGACACGAACTAATGAGACCACAGATAATAATAAAATCTTGATATACTTGTAATATCTATATAATATATTATTTTAATGTTAGATTATCATTAATATGTATAATGGTAGAGGATTCCAGAATTCAATTTTGTGGGATACTGATAAAGTGTACTTATAGTACCAACTTGATAAATAATAATATATTCAATAAGTAAAGAGAACAAAGATCGAGAGTAATTCTAATAAATTTACAGAAAACTACCTGAGTAGGGTGTGTTTGTGTGTGTGTGTGTGTGTGTGTGTGTGTGTGTGTGTGTATGCGTGTGTGTGTGTGTGTGTGCGTGCGTGCGTGCGTGTACCCCGCGTTTCACTCGCTTGTATCAATATGTAAAGTGTCCTGAGTGCTAAGTTTATGTTTCTGCGTGGAAGAACAACAAAGATCATTCAAACATAATACAAACTTTTGCATTTATAATATTAATATAGGATGTATTTGTCTACAAATTCGGAAGTAAATTTGTTTGTTGTCTATAAAACGGTCTATTATTATATACGGACGAAGTAAAAACTACTATTAAAATAATCTTAACAATTTTTTCTTAAATGAATGCCTATAAGAATAATATGGGATGAACGAAGTCATAGTAAAATCCAAATAGTACAATTAGTACACAAATGTAGTTAAATATACTTGACCTTGCCAAGGATTTATTATTACTGTAAATAACATATTAGCACAATTCAGCACAGATATTTAAATGATACATATTACTCCACTAATATTTATTTTCATGCAAAGACTATCAGCATAAAGCAGAGAGAACCGTAAGCTAAAGATATTCGTTTTCATATATGATACATCTCATGCACGTCGGTTCTGGAAACTCTTGACTCATGCGTTTGAAATTGTAAAAGTAACCATAAACTACGTTTAGTAGTTTAGTTTAATAGTAACAGTAATTAAAATTATCGTCATATCAACCATTAACTTTCCACAGATGAACATAGGCCTAACACATAAAGGGGGTTTTGCCAATAGTCCCCAATGTTTGGCAGGCGAGTTGGCAACCGCAGTTAGGCTTTGATGGTGTTTTAAGAGAGATGTTGTTGCCTATTTCTCAACCATTAAATTCCCTTAGCCGCCTCTTACGACACTCGTGGGATAGGAAAGGGTGGCCCATTCTATGCCGGGAACACAGGGCAAATTATAATCGATGTTTATTTGTAAACATACAAAAATGTAAATATTATTTTATTATACTATATTATTAGGCAAAACTTTCACGTGACTGTATTTTATTTCAGATGAAAGTAATACTTATTAAAAGATAACCTTGTCGGCCCTACCGACTAAGCTAGCAGAATACCAATGAGAGATGTTAGGTGAGGATCAAGTCAGATCAGTTGGTTCATTATTTTGAATTGATTATTAATTATCCACGTTAATTTTCAAGGAGGACTACGTGGGATCTTCATGTACAGGGCAACCTGACAGAGTCTTATGGAAAATGAAAACCATAGCCAATAAAGATACATATCATAGAATATATTATTGCAGTGCCGTTTCTTGCATTGCTATGTCTTCATATATACTAATATAAATTTACTAGTATGTCTTTTTAAATAGAAGCATAGCAATTTAGCAGTATAAACATAAGTGAGACAGAATGAGTTTCTCATATAATTATATTATCTACAATTATGTTAGAATACAATTACTTACCGTGTAGGTCCTGACATAGAAAGGGCTACCTCTTCTTTTCCCGTGGGTGTCGTAAGAGGCGATTAAGGAAACTTATGGTAGAGGTTTTGGCAGCAGTGTCCCTCTTAAAATATCACTAAAAGCCTAACTGGTTGCCAAGCCGCCTGCCAAGCATGGCAATTACTGGCAAAACTTCTGGGGAAGGCTTATGTTAAGCAGTAGACAGTTAAAAGCTGATATGATAATGATGATGATATTAGACTACGAAGTGACTTTGTACTCTTTTTCTGGTGCGATAATATAATTGCGCAAATAAACTATAAAACAGTGTATTGTAAATGTAAGAAACATTTAAATCTCACATGATATAAAATTCAATAAATATTTTATTTATATAATTAAATATAAATAATTTATTCCAACAATTAAGAAACTTACCAAATGCTTGTATATCAAATTAAGGCCATTTATATTACCACTTATTTTGAATATTGCTATGAATTTGTAACGCTTCAATTTAATAAACACTGCCTTCACTTCAACCTACACGTACTGACTACGGAAAACGTGTTGTTCGATGCCAATACAGTCGTTGAATTAGCGTACCATCGAGATAAGACTCATTGAACTCGATATTGTTAATATATAATTTATGAAAAGTAATTTTTGCATAAGCAAAGAAAATTTGACTTCAACCATAAACATACCGACGATGATGGAAATTGACAATATTTAAATTTAGAGTGTGAAATCATATCTCTATAAGTACGAGTAGATTAAGTTTAGCATCAAGCATTTTTTATTGTACTGCGAAGAAAAATAGTACCTTTAATTATTACAAAATGAATATGGAAAATGGTCAAAATTGGTGACGAGATCGTGACTTAAACTCTCCTTTTGCATATCGCTAAAAAATTTGGCAATTTTTTGAAATCATCTCGGTACGACACCGACATTTTTTTACTTTTATTATACTAACATGTAACAATTAGCTCAAACAAAAAGATTTTACAATATATTTAACAGTTGAATTGTTTATATAATATTTATTCTATGTTTATATATGTATATAATTATAATTTTATTTATCTATATTCTTTTATTAATCATATAAATACTAATAATATAAATTATTATTTATCATATTATTTTTGTATTATATATATATTATGCCGTATATACAAATACTATAGATACTTTCATCTTTAAGGATCTCAAAGTTGACTGGAAAAAATCCTTTGAGGAGATAAATTCGCCTGTTTATATTTTCGTTATAACCCAAAAGCTATATTATGCAAATAAATAAATTAGCCTAATCAAGGCGGCCGGTCGTAAAACCAAAAGCCAAAACCGTGTGTAATATGAACAAAAAACATATTATGCCGATTTAACATTTATATTTTGGATTGATATTGGGATAATGGGATAGGATGCATAATAATTAACACAATTAGTATTGTAATCAGTAATAAATTATAGTAAAATATTATATTAAAATACGAATTAACGAAAATAACATACGTCATCCTAACGTCACGAGTCTTTTCCCATATAAGAGATTAGGCATTTATTATCTATGATGTCTTAATATTGAGTTTTATTCAAAGATATTCTCTTTTTGCATATAGTTATATACTTATTACACTTTGTTCCCTTAGATGTCTTTTATAAAATCTTTATTTTTTTGTGTATATCCATCATAGAGAGCTACTTATCTCGAAGGAAGTGAGTGGGTGCTGCTGGCTCCTACCGGGTAAAATCTCATGGTGCTCTGCTTCTTCGCTGTAGTATCTTTTATGACACATCGGGAATGAAGATAATAGTGACACGTAGTAAACGTATTTCGTCACAACATTAAATAAGACATATTAGAAAACATAATTCTACAATTTGTCATGATAATACGAACATCATAACATCTGTATGCAAATATTTGGCTACACTTGAAAACGAACAGTAGAAGTTGTAGCAAATAAATTTATTTATCTAAAATCAGTTTAAATTTTATAAAATACTACTAGGTGATCCGGGGAACGTTGTTTTGCTATTCTACTTCTATCTACTAGGGTTGGATGCAATATAGCAATATCTATATATTTTAGTTACAATATCTATATGCCTACTGCTCCAATAAGGAATATATTAAAAGTCTGTTATACGAAAAATAATATTGATTAACAGACTTTTAACATATTCGAAAATAGACATCCGACCGACATGGGCGATATCGAAATTGTTGATGAGATTTTTCCTCCATTAATGTCCAGATTAACCCAATATATAGACGTCGGATTGGTATTGATATTACCCATGCATACTGGCTTAATTTTTCTTTTATCCGAATAATAACTGTCCTATCTTTCAAGTTGAAGCAAATAATAATATATAATATGACATTTACAAAACTTCATTGAAAACTGGTAAACAATTTCGGAGATTAGCGTGAACGAATATCGTAGCATGGCTTTTTCTTTTTTTTTTAAGGGAGAAAGAGAATATGATTATATGCACTACATATATTATGTTTAGATATAACATATATAACCTTCGCTTTCAATGCGACAAGATAGCCTTACTGCTAAAAACAATCTTTTGAAGGCAACTTTAATGCTAGACATTTTTTCAAGAATATTCAATTAAAAAAATTATAGGTACAGCTGTATAAGTGACCCTAACTTATATAATATGAATATTAATTGTTATGTTATTTACTGAAAGGATGTGTATGGACTCTTTGGTGATATATTACTTGCCTATAATATGATGGAAGCTGTAATATAGTCCAGTGTACATTTTTACACTATCTTATGTTGCAAATATTCCATTAAAGTTTACTTCTAGGAAACATTAATTGGATTGTATTTATCAAATACTCCGATAATCCCAAGCAAATAGTTTTATTTGAATTTGTTTACAAATGTATTTTGATCACTTTTAATATATGTCTCATATCAATTTTATTGTGAACTTCCGATCAGATAAAATAAATTGTGAGAATTAATGCGTTTTAAATTTTTAATGTTTTAGATCAAGGTCTTTACCAGTCACATAGTATTATTGTAAGTAAAGCAATTAAGATAATAAACAAATTGTCTAATGAGATAAAATATTACGTAAAACTAGTAATATATTATGGAAAAAGTACCATTTAGGTAGTATTTGTGAATATAAGGAACATAAATATGTAGATTATTATTTGAATTCAACGTAGGTAATTAACTATTCATGTATAATTATAAAATTATTAGATTGATGAAAAAAATATGTGCAAACTACTTAAGATTAATTCAAATTTAAAGAAAAAAAAAAACATATATATTTATTATATTTTATTTAAAAATCTCGAGTACAGGAAATATGTCATTCTAACACATACAGTAATAGTAGACACATCAAACAAAACGTTATCATGTATGAAGAATAAAGAATATTTAAAGAATAGATAATAATACATATCTAAGAATAAACATAATAATTTATTACGGCGTTTGTGTAACGATAAAATTTCATTTTCTGCTTAAGAAAGAAGAAATAATATTTTAGGTATAGATACATAATGCTATAAAAATACCTATATAGCATGTGTATACACCACAATGGCTTTATTAGATACTAATATGAAAGTATATTTTACAATATACTTACATATTAAATGTAAAAAATATCCTGTATAGAACACACAATCAAAGTCTTATAAGTGAAAAGGTATTGTTTAAAAAGGACACATAAATACAGATATTTATCTAATAGATATTTAAGTTTTTCTGTACTTTTTGTTTACACCATAACGATTGGAAGGTTACGCGGTATGTAGATAGAATAATGTCAAGTAATATAATATTATTTAAGATACATGTCACAGAAGGAAGCAACGACGCACAGACATTTAGACAACTGGTATAAAACAATAGCCACATACTCGTACACTGTATGTGTAAGTCGATAATGGGTATTATACTCGTTATAATGTAAATATAGTTCAAATTATTATGTGTATTTAGTTTTAAAGTATATCGTAAAAGATACTTTATCTAATGCATAAAAAGACCACAAATATTCAAACATATTACTCAATGAATGCTAATAAAATTCATGTATAAAATATTCGATAGAGATCGTTTATAGTAGACTTAATCTAGTCTGGGTGTCATAACTAATTTAAATATAATTTATTTTATTAATTTGTAATTGCATATAATTTTTTAATCAGAATAAAAATTAGTACAATACAAAACTTTATATAAAATTAATTAAATTCTTAATTCGTAATAACTCGTTCGCTATCGTTATATAAGTTTAAACTATCTACTAACAAATAAGGAACAGAAATAGGAAATATTTTCAGACATAAACTTACGTTTATATGTCTATGAATCTTCATAAACATCGTAAGTACGTTTCAACCACCAGGGCCTTTTGTAGGAATCAGTGATCGTTCGGGGATTGTAGGCAATAGCTGGCCGAATCTGTTTAGGGAAATCTACATCAATGTAACTTGGTGCTGTTGGAATAATATTTTCAGTTAATGGCTTTTTGAGCAGTGACAGTTGAGATTGAAGAATTGCTGGTTTGTATGGTAAGTTAGAAGTTTGCCACGATCCTAGATTGGTATTATAGTTTACTGATTGTGGCTGCACCAGAGTTTGTGGATTTAGTTGGAAACGTATTGGAGGTTCACATACAGTTCCTTCCACTAGACTGTCAAGAGAAGCTGTATAAATTCTAAAGTTTATATCACTGTAATCCAACTCGGCTTCTAAGAATACAGGCATACGGTCTGATATCACCCAAACATTGCGATTGTCATCAACTTTTATATCAGATGGGAATACTAAGCCAACATCATCTTTATCCACTATGGCGATGTTCTGTGGTTTATAAGGTCGAGCTGAGTACCAGCAACCGATAGCATTTTGGTCAATTAAATTAAAAAGTTGAATTCCCAAATTATCTATTACTTTAGCTGTTGTATGCCCATTTGGCCCACGAACGCCTACGACGCTGAAGTCTTTGAATGAACCATTCTCGACCTTGCTTTCATTTCGCAATATGCGTGTTGAAACTGAAAACTCTGTGTGACTTGATAAAGGACTAAAGTAGAGAGTTCTATATCCATCACTTTTGATTGGTGATGGTGCAATTCCGAATATGCCCTCGGCTCCCCACTGAAAATTAAGACCAGCTATATTGAAATCTCCTGTAAGTGGATCTGGCATAAAATAGCTGTGACTGAATCTCCAAGATTTGTTCTCTTCCCAAGAATACACAATTAAACCATAACCAAGCTCGTCAGAAAAGTAAGCAAATGTATCTTCGCAACTAGATCCAATATCTACTGCGATGTTGGCAATAAAAGTTGTAAAAACGATGTCTTCAGGACGTAACACATATCTTCGGATTCTCTGGTTAGTTTTTAGGTCATATACGTTGAGAGCATACGGGCAGAGGTTTGTGACGTTGGTATCTGAAAGAATTGTTTAATTAAGAATTATTAATATAGGTAATTACAGATATCTACCTTTGTTGTTTATTTACCAATAAAAATAAACAGATTTTTACATTGTACAGTATCTTACCATAGCCAAAAGTGCCAGTATCTAAAACCCAAAGTCTTCCACATTCGTCCGCTTTAATTCTGTAAACTGTGTTCAGTCCAGTATCGCAGTTACCCAACTCATTGCCTTTCCAACTCGGGTAGGGGTTCAATTTCGGTGAGGGTTCGTAACGATCGTCTAATCGTATATAATTTAAGGTTGCTGGAATACCTGAAATTAGGTATATAAAAGTTTTTAGGAAAGTTGGTATGAATATATCAGTATTACAGGAAGGAAAATAAAATTATTTGTCGCCAATTAATATATGTTATGTATATTATATTTTACTTTATACTTTACCTATATCTACCTACTTATGGAATGTTTATATGTTCATAGGCACAAAATTTTCAATCAACTTCAAAAAGAAGGACGGTTTCGATTGGGTTGGAATTTTTTTCTCAAAACTCATAACTCTGTCAGTTATAAACTGATTTGAATTTTTTTTTATCTAGAAGATTGATCCCATAGGAATTTTTATCAAAATCGGTTAAGTAGTTTAGTTTTCAAATCAAAATAACTGGTTTTACCACAATTGAAATCGTTTTATTTGGAACAATTTTAAATTGTTTTCCATTTCCTTGGTGTATTAAAGGATACGTAAAACCGTCATGCATTAAGCTACGTGTATGTCAAATGCCTTTTTATACACTGCTGAACATAGGCCTCTCCCGTTTCTTATGACAGTTTACCATTAGGGGGATTTTGCCAGTAATTGCCGTGCTTGGCAGACGGGTTGGATATTGTAGTTTGGCTTTTGGTGATGTTTTAAGAGGGATGCTGCTGCCCATTCCTCGAACACTAAGTTCCTTTAGTCACCTCTTACTACACTCACAGGAGAGAAAGACATTCTATGCCGGGACCAAACGGCAGGGTTACCATAATGTACATTTATTATTATACATTATTATTACATATTATATACACACATTCAAGGATAATAAAGTTGACCAGTTTTTCTCGAAGCATTTGTATGGAGACATTGTACCTATATAATCTAAGTGTATTTGTTATAATTTAGGCATGAAACATTATTAACATAAACATTTGTAGATTAACATCAGATTTCACTGTTATTGTGTTAAGGATGTAGATGCATAATTGCGTAATTTATTTGCACTTTATGTTTTTTTCATTTTGCATAATGTATAACAATTACATCAGGTACATATTAGGTTTGTAGGTGGATTTGTATTTCGTGTAATTGTTTTTTTATTGAATTTGTTTTTGCTTATATTATTGGCATATGCCAACGTACGTATGTTACGTATATAAATACGTACAGAACATATAAATATTGATTTATATTAATTTTAAGGTCGTCATTTGATATTGATATATGTAGTAAGAAACTCAACAGTTATCATTCTATTCAGATGAAAGTATATACTAAAATAAACTTAAGTTAAACCGCTAGTTATTACATTAAAATATATTTAGATTGTATATACCTAATAATAATGATTACACAGAACACTTTTACCAAAATGCAAATAGGTGGTGATTTTGTATTTGTCTGTATATTAGTGCATATGTTTTGCGATATCATTTTCTTATTCAAGTTCTGATATTGATGATTATTTTTAAACGACTTTCAAAAAGAGGAAATTATTAATTCACGTGTTGATTAATGTGTTTTTGTTAGGCAATCTTTGCCAACTCTGATTTTGATAATTCTTTCCACAATTTTTACAGTTTATTCTCGTGTTCACAAAATTATCACAAAATAGTGAGGGACTATTTTATAATGATTAAAATCACCATTTTTATTTAGTGATTTTTTTTTATTTAAATTGAATTACGAAAATAAATTATTTATATTATGTTGCGTTATATTTTGTATTGTAAAAATTGTGAAAAGAAAAAGGGAAACTGTTAAGCTGTCTGAATTTAACTAGATAAATAAATTATATCAGTAGTACATGCTTATGGATTAGTATGTATCTAATTGTGGAGACTAAGTACATACCTGATTTCCAACGAGGGACAGTTACAAAAAGTTTATTTTCCCATTTTTCAATGCCCACTGGCAGTGCATTTTCTGGTTGTAAATCTCCAGAATTAAGGGCATTTTGACGTGAATAGGAATCCGGGTAGTTCCAGTCCAATACGTTCCAGGAAAACATCTCCTGTAGTTTAACAGCAGCTGATGCGAAAGATATAAGGCAACCAAGAATAAGTATTCGTGCTGCCATTTTGATTTATTTCTGTACCTAGGGATAAAATAAATAAATATAAGTAAATATAATTTATAGTCTTTAAAATATGATTGTTACACATCGCCTTCTAGTGCTAAAGAAAGTCAATAAAGATATTGATTTTTTATATAAATACACAGAAAACATATTGAGCCTCTCACTCATCTCAATATGCAGCAGTTCTTAAACTACAAAGTTGTCAAAAAAAATACATTTTTAATATGATGAATAGATAATGAAAGTAAAATAATGCAAGTCTCAGAAGAGAGTTAAATTTTTCATATACTGTGTATATATACAGTAGTTATAGACTGTATATTTGAGAGATCGGCATGCAGGTGAAATTTACAAGGGTAGATAAAGCAAGAGATGTGTAGAAGGACAAAAGTATTTGACATAATTCCTTATCCACGCCTATATAAACGAGTTGGCGTGGAGATATTTCAATTTTAAATAGTGTTTTTATTACATTTTATATTCAATAATTTTTCTAGTTGTAAGTAATGTAAGATAAATTTTATTTTATACGATAATAAGATCAATTATCGAATATTATGTGTTGTTGTAGTATGTTTATTTTTTATGTTACATTTTCAAGGGTACCATTCGATATTATGAAATTCAGTGGAAAAAGGTGTGATACAGTTCTGAGGTAATATAAATAAACCGAGCTAAGAACTTTCTCCTCTTTTAAAGTGGGTTGAAATTTCAAAATATACCAAGGTATCTGGAACTTACGAATTGACAAATATATTTATGTTAGTTTCTACCAACTATAAAATTCCTTCTGAATAAAAGCTTCTGAACAAACCAATAATCTGTTGCAATTATCTGATATCAAACTATGGACTTATGTTCATGGAAATTTAAGTTAACTTATTTTGCTGTATAAGTTTAAGGAAATCTTTGAAGATATTTTAACAACCTGTTTTTTACTTTTTATTTATTATTATAATTTTTTTATAATTATAATTTTTTGGAGAGAACATTAAAGAATGTATCTTTATTGTAATATTGTATTTGTAATTAAAAAAAGAAAATAGAATTTGTCGGGACAAGATCTAAATAAATAAATAATAATTGTCATTAGAATTTAAGCGACAACTGCATTGATTAGATGTTTTATGAAATTACATAGTCGTATTTTTGTGACTTTGTTATGACTTTGTACACATGTTTATCCTATATAACGCTATGTATAATAAAATACAAAAAAATATGTAACATAATTTTGCACAGCAATGTTATTAGAAATTCAATATAATATATTATATCGAATTTCATATTACAATTAGCATTAGAAAAAATGAAATTGCTGTACATTTTGAAGATATGAGAAATTAAAAAAAAAACATTTTCTTAATTTTTTAAGCGAATAAATACGCCATTAAAGATTATGCACACATAAATATTATTGCATGTACGACATGAAACTGGTTTACTAATTAATCACAATACCCAAATCACAGATTCTTCAACCGATTTTTTCTTAATTTTATGTAATTATATGTTAGTTGAATCGTTTAACAACACGATACACTCACGTACTTTTAACGTATCCGCTAGACTGTCCGACTATCCGTCGGACGTTGAGAATTACACTAAAACTTGCAAAACCATCCCTGCTATATAAAACCTGGCCTTCATTGACTCCTACCCATATTATAATGAGATAAACTTACGATTAAGAATAGGGTTGGCACTTGCTCGAATAAGTAATTCGAATTTTTTTGTAACTTTTCTTTTATTGTCATAGAATATCTAAATATAGTGATTTAAAAATGAAAAATAAATGTAAATATTAAAATAAAATAATAATAATATAAATATAGTTACTTTCAAACTACATGCATTACTGTACTATTTGAATTGTAAACGAATCCTTATTTAATTTTTCTCTTTCAAAATCAAATCGTTAGAATATATGAAATTAAAATTGTCCTACGTAAATTATTCATGAATAATCTAAAAACTATATAGTTACTTTTATATTTTTATACAGATGTGAATGTTAGTTAAGCTTTTGAGAGGGTTATAGATTGTTTAAAAATTATGAAACGTACTGAGTGTTTACAATGTTATTGAATATTAATTTCGACAACAATAAAAATATTCATAACTATGCTACCTACTGTATAAATGTACAATAGTATATTTATGATTATTTTAGAATGTACTAATGTATACACAAATACAAATGTACATAATAATTTTTATTTTTGATTTTTAAAAATATTAATTATATTAATATTTTGTTTACACGTATGATGATATAGTTATGGGGTTGGTGAATATTATACTCATCATAGTTCCCAGAAGTAGCGCAGGATGAATATAATGAACGTTACAGTGTTATTGTTCTATGATGTTCATCGCACCATTAATTTTTTTTTTTCAACAGGTGGGTTATTAGCTTGTTTGTCATTCTAAATTAATTAAATATTGGATTTTGTTCATTTAGATTTGATGTTATTGTCTTTTTTGGTCACTTTATTGATCCAATTGAGTCTCCACTATTATCTTAAGAGTATATAATGAATTCGTGTGAATAAAGTTCTTTAGACGTGATTTAAAAAAAATATTTTTTATTTTCTTTAAATGGTTACCATATTACAACAGCAATACTAACTAAATACTGCTGCGTAATAATAAATTACGTTGTATTTTATGGTAAGGATATCAGGAAAATAGTAAAAAACAAGTATTTGCTGGACTCTTATTTGTCAGTAGGTTCTTAAAAAATTTATACTTACATAATCTTAAAAAAAAAACCGATTAAGTGTGAGTCGGACTCGCCCACTGAGAGTTCCATGCAAACTATAATTGCAATTTTTTTATGCAACTTAGAATGGCAAACATGCTGACGGCCCACCTCATGGAAAGTGGTAACCGTCGCCTATAGACATGAGTGGTACTATGAACATAACAGAGTATCCTGTTTCGCCCATAATACCCCCCATGCGTTGACATATCTGAGAACTCAGGTGTTATTCCTCTATATCCTGTAAACTCACTGCTATATCTCAACCTTCAAACCATAACATAGCTATGAAAACACAATTGCTTTACGGTAGAAACATGAATGGGACAGAGGTGCCCAAGCTAACGAGTTTTGTACAAAGTCTCTTCCTGGTAAAAATCTCAAAGTATTTTTTGTTATGTAACGGGTTTCGTAATTTTTCTTTACGACATTGCTTTTTATTAAATCTAATGATTTTGAGTCGACGAGAAATATCCTGTAGGTTTTGATTTCCTTGCAAATGTCAAAATATACACGTATTTTTTATTGCGTTGATTGAGAAGTTTGATTTTTTCACAGTTTTAAGGAATACCAGATATTAATTTTAGGGAAAAAGAGTTTTGACAGACGGATAACAAAGTAATTTTATGAGGGTTATATTTTATTTTTTAAAGTACGGAGTCCTAAAAAAAAGAAAAAAACATAGAATGAGGAAAACAGAAGAAAAAATAATCTTACTAAGGTACGAGTATGTTGTGTACCAATTTTATATTCTATGTTTTTATATTCTTAAATTTTCCTTATTGATTATTAGATGTTTTTTTTTACTTACTTTTTAATTAATTAAGACTTTTGTATTTCTGTTTTTATCTCGTGTTGATATTAAATTTATTTTACTTCTTATAGTGCTATTTTGTGTTAATACCCATATTTTTTCAAAAAACATTAAAGCAAATTAGATTATATCGAGAATAATTTGTAGTAATAAAAAAAAATAAGTCCTAAAAAAATATTATTCAAGAAGTAAATTACTAAAGGGTTAATTTGTTGTTTGCTTATCATTTCACCTAAACAATTTTAGATGACAGTTATTATAAAAATGTAAATAAATAATTTATATATGATTCATTCTAGACCGAGTTTGATTTATATAGGAACAGACGGGGAATGTTAAATTATTATTGAAGAAGTAAATTACTAAAGGGTTAATTTGTTGTTTGCTTATCATTTCACCTAAACAATTTTAGATGACTGTTATTATAAAATGAAAATAAAGAATTAATATATGATTCATTCTAGACCGAGTTTGATTTATATAGGAACAGACGGGGAATGTATGGTTTTACTACGAAAATAATTTAAAACACTGTCTATGTTAATGTGTTTAATAGTTTTCAAAAAGACTTTGTCTATGTTATTAATCATTATTTACTCGGTGTTATAATGTCTATATGTATCTATAAAATTACTTACGTATATACCTACTTGTACAACAATTAGTCCTTTACCCTAAGTTTGTTTTGAAAAGATTGCTCTCACCGATAAGACCGCCTTACTGTACTTATATAATTGTATCGTTATATTTATTAATTGTGTTGTTTTTCTCCTATATTGTATAATGCAAATAAACTATACTTATTCATCCATTAATTCATGTAATAAAATTAGTGACTCCGGATATCTTTTGTTTTTAATAGACATATATTATTATAATTTTTTTATATAAATAAATAAACATTATACATCTTATTGCAACAAACAAGATATTTAGACATCTTACTACAAAAAGGTGTCTACTCTTTTGTAGTAAGATGTCTAAACATGTGTTTAAAACCAGTCTTTCTTATGTTTAACTTTTTTGTGGTAATATTGAGGGATGGAGATACTTCGTCATTTCTTAGAACGCTGCGTGTCGATCAATAGCAACACGCACGAATTGCTTGACGCGAGTCGGTGGCCCATAATCATATTTGTAATTCCACAGCCTATTAAACTAGGCCGTAGTAATACTACTAGTATAGTATTATATTATTTGTGGTAATACCTAGATATTTATTGTGCAGGAATCCTTATTCTTTACTTATATTATAAATGTGAAAGTGTGTTTGTTTATTACCTTATAGCGACTTAACGGCTAACTAATTACTATGAAAATTTGGTACATATATAAGTAATAAAATTTACATACTATATAGGATAGAAAAGGATATAGCCTACCTTTTATCCCGGTCAGTAAATATATCCCGGTCATGTGGATAAACTCGACGGTAAAAACTATTGTGTTATGAATAAAACAGTCTTATATCAACTATTTTCAGGATGATTACACTATTACAGAGCTATTTGGAAGGGATAATTTGTACATACAAACATGAAACTCATGAACGCAAAAACTAGATATTTGACCACAAATAATTCTATTATTTAGGTTTAGTAGTTTAAACTTGATTGAGTGTAAACGTGAGGTAACAATTCTCCAAAAAATTTTTACAAACTTTATTCGTAGGGTTGGTTTATCTCTCTCGTGGTTAATCGAAATAAAATGCAGTTTGCATTATAAAAAAAATGGTATAGTTTTCAAATACTAATAGAAAACAAAATTATAATCAATTTAATTATTTCAGAGATTATCGTGTATATATTCAAATAAATGTTTATAAAATGTTTAAATAAAGAATCAGTAGCGATAGTCTTCTAGCAAGCCAGTATCCATGGTAACTACATAATTATAAGAATGTAATTGCTAGTTTTAAATTATTGTTTATGTTAAAGGACTTAGGTTGTTAGAACGTGAATATTGTTGTAATAATAATTTGTTACAGTCCGTTGTAGTTATGAATATTTTAGTGGTACATATCTACCTTGAAAACAATACCTGTCGCGAAAAAAACTAAGTCAATCAATTATTTTGGTGTAACTTTGACATATTATGTTAATAAATGACTGTGTGGTATAGGAAATAGGAACTAGGTACCTACTTATATGCCACTGGTGATTAAGTACATGAGTTTTTAGGTTCTTTTTTAAATACTCGTATTTTCGATTTTAATATATGATATTACGACTTAGATTCCAACGGTTTTGAGTACTAAGCTGACCAACATCAAACACTTTGTGTTGGGAAGAGAAGGGATTGTTAGTAATGGGGATTAGTAGCCTCAATGCTAGCAATATACCCTATCAGGTCGACCTCCTTGTGGTTCCCCTTGGAAACCATCGTGATTGATTTATTGTTAGATTCGTTACGGTGGGCTAACTGACCTGCTTCATCCTCACCTATCATCCTTCACTGGTGCCTCGTCAGTGTATACCGATAGCGCAGGCGGGGTTACTATTCTATTATCATCCATAAAGAAAAACACAAAGAGTTTCGGTTTAAAGTTTTAACAAACTCTCCAGTAATAGAAAACATCGTCAAATTAATCTTATTAATCCTAATAAAATAAGAGAAAATTGATTGTTAATAATAGAGATCAAACAGTTTCATTGCTTGCAGTATATGCTATATAGCAATATAATATTATTTACCAGAGGTGGCCGACTTCACTAGACCCAAGATCTACTATTTACTGACGAAACCTTGTACGATCTACCAATTATATACTTCACAACATAGTTCAGTACACAAAATACATAGTATTATAGTATTTTTAAGTTAATTAAGAGGGAAAAGATAAAACTGAAAATTATTCTTAGTAACTACTTATTTATATTAGTGTTAGCATTGTGTCTTACATAATTAGCTTTACCCCGCGGCTTTGCTTACTTGAATTTAGATAAAAAACTATCTTATATGTTAATTTAAAATATGTTCCGAACTATATTGAGTAATTAACCTCCAAAGATCTTTACAAACTTTTACATTATGAATACTAGCAGAATAACTAAACTTACAAGGTCATAAAATAGGACC